TCAGCAATGGCGAGTATAGTGCGTGTGACGAGATCTTCCTCCTCCCTATTTGCCTTTGGAACCCGATTCTACTCCACATCCGCCGGAATCTCCCACGCGTCTCCGTCTCCGTCTCCGCCGTTTCTTCACGGCGGTGGAATCCGCAGGGATGTTGCGAAGGATCGGAACGTGCAGTGGGTGTTTCTGGGATGTCCCGGCGTCGGAAAAGGCACTTACGCTAGTAGACTATCTAGTCTCCTCGGCGTCCCTCATATCGCTACCGGCGATCTCGTCCGTGAGGAGCTTGCTTCTTCCGGTCCTCTCTCTCAACAGGTATGGCCTATTTCTGTGATTGAGATCTTCGTCTGTGTTCGATTTTCGATTCAGATAATCTAAAAGTGATGTTCTCTTTTTAGCAAATCGGGTTTCATTTCTTAGATTCGATTGGATCTGTAGAAGTTCGACTATCTCCCGATAGATCTATCGAACTAAGTCTATTTCAAAGTGTTTCTATATATTTGATAAGCTTCATAACGGATCTATTCGTATAATTTAAGTCAATGGCCTTATGTGTGTATTGAGATTTTGTCTTTTGTGCGTTCACTGTTATAGAATATTGTTGTTTATATGTATGATTCTGAGTTTACTGTTACTTGATGCAGCTATCGGAGATTGTAAACCAAGGAAAATTGGTTTCAGATGAGATCATAGTTGACCTATTGTCCAAGAGACTTGAGGCTGGTGAATCGAAAGGTGAATCGGGCTTCATTCTTGATGGATTTCCTCGAACTATGAGACAAGCGGTTAGAATTACATCTCTTAAGGCATATCAAGTTTGAATGTTTTTACTGGCATTTCTGACATTGAATTTGTGTTGTCTTTTGCTTCAGGAAATACTGGGAGATGTAACTGACATTGATTTGGTGGTGAATTTGAAGCTACCTGAGGAAGTTTTGGTTGAGAAATGCATTGGGAGGAGAACTTGTAATCAATGCGGTAAAGGTTTTAATATCGCTCACATCAACTTAAAGGGTGAGAATGGAAAACCTGGAATTAGCATGGATCCACTTCTCCCTCCACCTAACTGTATGACAAAGCTCATCACTCGAGCAGATGATACTGAAGAGGTGGTGAAAGCAAGGCTTCGTATATACAATGAAACCGTAAGCTCCTTGATCGTCCTTTCCATTTCTAGATGAACTATCAAGCAATGAATAATGTTTTATATTTTCTGTCTTCTATAAATCAGTTACACTTACACAAATGATGATTTGTGTTTTCTCTATATGCAGAGCCAGCCTCTCGAAGATTACTACCGTAGCAAGGGAAAACTTATGGAGTTTGACCTACCTGGAGGCATCCCGGAGTCATGGCCAAGGCTATTAGAAGCCTTGAGGCTTGACGATTACGAGGAGAAACAATCTGCTGTGGCATAGTTCACAATCGAATCCTGGTATTAAAATTCTTTGCATGTGGAAGACATGTGCCTAATCAATTTTGTATTGGAAATAAAAGTGAAAAAGAAACATTAGATTGTTTTTTTTTTACCTCAATGGAAATAATCATACGCACTTGCAAACTATTATCTTTCCACGAGCCGGTGTTTCGGTTCCATAAGAGGAATACGCTGTATCATGATTGTTTGTTTATGAGTTTGCTAGTTTCAGGAATGTATCAATACTTCTACACTACTTGTTATGCAGTGAGTTTTGATCTTTATGCTCTTGTGATCTGTTTGTTGGAATTGAATGCGATAATATGCGGCTGGCCGAGCTGGCTGGTTAAAGTACTCAACCAGACAGTAAAGTAAAACAGCCGCATAGATTAAAGTCTTTGGGAACTTATAACCAGCTCCTGACTGTCCTAGAATTGGCGGTGTGGGATAGAATTGTTCCTTACACCCTGGAATTTCCGGTGGAATTGATGCTCATAATTGGTCCTTTGTGTATTACTTGCTATGTGATTTCAGAACAAGCCTAGCTTATGTGTTTTGCATTTGCGGTTTTGCTGAGATATTTGGGCTTCTTGATATCGATTTGTGGGGGTCTTATGTTTTTCCCAA